GAGAGAGAGAGAGAGAAAGCCCCAGAGCCAGGCTGACTCCAGCCCTGTCTTACTCACTAGTTCTGTGAGCAGGAGGAAGTTCCTTAACTTCTCTGGACCCCAGGTTCCTTCCTGATAACTGATCATGGTGGGACTGATCTTATAGAATTATTGAGTGCATTTTCTGAGTCTTTATTGTAATTGCTAGTGTGTATAAAGCACCTTGCACAAGATGTAGTTTCTCCTTTGTGATGGGAAATTGAAGTGTTCTCTTACTGGGGCTGGGCACTAAGCAGGCTACACTGTGCTCCAGCACTTGAGCCAATGTAAAAGGCTATTCCTGAGTGGGACTGCTCAGCCCAGAAGGGCTGCAGACCTGAGGTCCTGCTTTATCCTTCCCAACTTACAGGGCCTGAAGAAGATCTCTGCGTACATGAAGACCAACCGCTTCCTCCCAACACCTATATTTTCAAAGATGGCTCACTGGTGCAACAAGTAAGCCCCTGCCATGCTGGCACTCACAGGGAGTGAGTGTGCCTGCTGCTCCAGGCCCTGGAGTACAACTGGCCTTCTGCACGGCTGCCGCAGTCATCTGGCTGCCCTCTCCACCCCCTTCTCCACAAGGCTTTAGCTTCTTGTCTCCTACCCAGATCCTGCCTCAGTCAAGCCTGTGTAATCTACGTCCCCCCACTTTCTTTCAGAAAAGTCCCTTCTTTCTCTTATCTGTGCCCTAAACCTAATTGCAGAGTCCTTTCCTATGATTTGAGGAGCTGCCCTGAATTCACACTCCCTAGAATTACCTTAAAAGTCAATATTATTTTGAGCGTCAGGCCCATTCCCGTGTAGGTGGGTCCCCAGTGTAGGAGCTGCCCGTCCTGTCTGATCTCTAATAAAGCCTTAAACATACTTGCTTTGTGTTGTGTCTTATTCCCCTTTTTTTTGGTCTTTTTGAAACAGGGTGTCCCTGTACCCCCAGTTGGCCTGGAGTTTGCTATGTAGACCAGGTTGGCCTTGAACGCACAAGATCTACCTCTGCCTCCCAAGTGCTGGGACTATAGGTGTGTCTTAGTCCTTTTGCTCTTTTGTGTTCACCAAGTGTCACAGTTACTTCCAAGGGACTGAGCTCTGAGTTTGCAGTACCAGGTTGATAGGAGTCTAATGGAATCAGAGATGTTTGAAAAAGACTTGATTCTGATTCTGAGGCCCTCACAGCAGATATCCCCAGCAGACTCTAGAGGATAAAATACATTTGCCTGGGCCTGGAATCCCATTACTGAACTTCCTATGGTGACACAGGGCTATAGGTCTCAATGAGTGATGATCTAGGCTCTTGGGCAGGGGAAACAGGATGCTCTGTACCACACACATTGTGGCTATGTCAATCTGTAGGTCTCTAGGATCCTGTATCTACTGGTTTTCTGATGTCTTCAGAATGCCAGGAGGCTTGGAACTCTACTGGCATGGGTTAACCATGAACTCTTCTTTCATGGTTAATCTTTCTCTATTTGGGGAAACTATAAATTGAATTTACCTCTACTCTCTGGCAATTGTTGGTGCTTGTGCCTCTTCCACCTCAGGAATCAGTGTCAATGAGTTTCCCTGTCTATGAGGCTCCCTGTGTCAGTATTTAATATTGTACAATTCAGTCAATTCTTGGAGAACTAGTTAAAGATGAGCCTGTGGCAATCAAACCCTAGTCTGGTGTAGGCTATGTAATTGTTGGGATTGTATTCTGGGTTTCTGTCACTGAATGGAATGGTTGATATTTTATGTATCAAATGACTGTACTCAGATGATAAAACATTCTATATTGGTGTGTCTGAGGTGGTTGCATTACTTTTCTGTTGCTGTGATAAAACACCATGACCAAGACAACTTATAGAAGGAAGAGTTTATTTGGCTTATGGTTCCAGAGGGATAAGAGCCCACCCTGGTGGGAAGGCATGGTGGCAGGAGGTAGCCAGGGCAAAAAGCTGAGAGCTCATATCTTCACACACTTGCAGGAAGTATAGGGATAAACTTGAAGTGGGGCAAGGTTATGAACTCTCAAAGCCCACCCAATGACATGCTCCCTCCAGCAAGGCCACACCTCCTGAAAATTTCCATGATTTTCCTCAAACAATGCCACTAACTGACCAAGTGTTCAAATACTTGTTCATTCAAACCACCTGAGTAGTGTTTCCAGAAGAGATGCACTTTGGACTTAGCAGACTAAATAAAGAAGACTGTCCTCGTGGCTGGGGTTAGGTATTCTCCAAGGGGATAAGGCTCAGGTGAAACGAAAAGTCAGATGATGGGTGAGTTTGCTCCATTGTGTCCAGATGTCCACCATCTCCTGGCCTGGACATCTGTACTCCTTATTCTGTGGCTTGAACTGGGCTTTTCCCAGTGCCTCCTATTCACTCAGGTCTGAACTGAATATACCATGGGCTTTCTGGCCTCTCCTCTTGAAGATCATGGGATGACAAATCCCATAATAAATAACACAGGCATACCCACATATCCCAAAATAATGTTTATATATTATTTTAGAGAAGCTTTACCAGTACTCATAGCAAAAAAAATCAGATTGATCATGCCTATGAACAAATGAATGAAAAAATTTGTTCAGTCATATAACATATAATGCTAGAGAATGTGCAATTGTTTGGGGCTTTTTTATTTGGAACGGATTGGTAGAGATGCCTTAAATACAGCTCCAAGAAAGCGTAGAAAGAAGAAACCTTCTTTTGTAGGTGTGATGTCTTCTTTTGCCCTTATAAATCTGTCTATTCATCGTCTGCTCCTCCGAGCAGGAAAATGATCTGTCTGCCTGTACATTTTGCTCAGTCCCAGAAGATATCTGGGAGGCTTGCAAGAGTGTGTGGGCAGTGGAAAGGAGCTGCTACCGTGGTAACCTCTATCATGGCTGTCTTGACCCCATGGAAGTCACTAGTGCTCATAAAGTCAAATTTTGGCCTTCCACACGCGTGGTTCAAGTGAACTTATTGGCGGTGTCTTGTAGGAACTTGTGCATACCCTTCTTCTCATCATGTTGCACTCCTTCAAAAAAGTTCAGCACATCCCGCCTGGCCCTGCTGTGCAGCTCTGGAAGAATTACTATGCATGGAAGACTGGTCCTATGTTCTATAGCCTCACTTTCAGTTCTGAGCTTAAGTACATAGCAAGTCAAAGTAAAAGAATAGATAGCAAGAGCTAGATGAATGGGTGAATGGATGGATAGATGATATATATATATATATATATATAGATAGATAGATAGATAGATAGATAGATGATAGATGATAGATAGATAGCAAACTATCATCAAACCAGGTGCTCACAACATTCAACAGAAACTTACTGGGGAAGTTGAGGCAGTCAGCTAGAGTTCCAAACTGAGCTGTCTCTCCATGGGCAAGTTTCTCATGGCTGAACTTCTGGCTTATCTTTGGCACTGTAGATACTTTTATAACAACAGAAACAGCTGTTAGAAATGGTTCACCTTCTACCTGTTCTCAAGGACATGATGTGCTTTTTAAAAAAATTTTATGAGTATGAGTACATTGCTTACATGTATATAACTGCACCCATGTTGTGCAATGCCTGTGGAGGTCAGAGGAGGGCGTCAGATCCCCTGGAGCTGGAGATACAGGCAATTACTAGCCGCCATGTTGGTGCTGGGAATCCAACCCAGGCCCTCTGCAAGAGCAGTCAGTGCTCTTAACTGATGAGCCATCTCCCTAACCCTGGACATGATGTTTTTACTCTTGGCTATTTTGTTGTTCTCTTCCATCTCTGTCACAGAATTAGGGAGACTATCCGATCCCCAGACAGGGGGTCTCAGAGGACACCAAGACAAACATGCTTGGGGCCTGAAATGGGAGGGAATAGCCTCACTTTTGGTTTTTAAAATATTTTATTATGTTTATTTTGTGTATGAGTGTATTGCCTGCATGTATGTAAGTGTACCTGTGTTGTGCAGTGCCTGTGGAGATCAGAAGAGGGTGTAGGATCCCCTGGAAATGGAGTTATTGATGGTTGTTAGCTGTTATGTGGATGCTGGGACTCAAACCCAGGTCCTCTGGAAGAGCAGCCAGTGCTTTTAACCACTGAGCCATCTCTCCAGCCCCTCACTTTTATTTTTACATTTATCATAATGTTTTTTCCTTAAGGATTTGGGAACCAATTTTTGGGATATGGAGCCATTGTTGCTCTTGATTGCTTCAAAGCTGAACAGAAACATCGATGAAAGGGGCTAGATGGGCCCCTCCCTGGGGCTCGTGCTAAGGAAAGATGGGATACATGGCCTTATTTCTGGTGATCCAGCAGCCTTTGGTGGAAGGATGTGGTTATGGTGGTCAAGAGCTGGCATCCTTTAGTCAGCATTATTTGGAGTTTTAGGGTCTAGAATCTGGAAGATATCAGTCATAAATGAACAAGAACCAAAGACACAAAATGAAGTGGAGAGAGAGAGAGAGAGAGAGAGAGAGAGAGAGAGAGAGAGAGAGGTGATAGCCAAGTATTGTCAAATCAGGTACTCACAACATTCAGCAAGGACTGACCAGGGAAGTTGAGGCAGTCAGCAGGAGTTCCCAATTGAGATTTTCCTCCATGGGTGAGCTTCCCATGGCAAACTTCTGGTTTCTCTTTCCCACTGTAGGCACTTTCATACCGTGTGTTAAACAATAGTGATGTCTGTTGGAAATGGTTTACTTTGTAGTTGTTCTTAGGACATGATGTTTTTACTCTTGGCTGTTTTGCTGTTCCCATCCCTCTCTATCAGAGTTGGGTAGGAAGGAGAAGCTCATCCTCAGATAAGGAGACCTGGAGAACACTTTGAGACAAACATGCTTGGGTCTGAAATGGGGGGAAGGGTGCAGTCCCACTTCGAGAGCCAGCTTCTCAAAGAGCTCAAGCAACATATGACAATTTACCAATATAGTGTACATTGGAACAGCCTGCTAAGGATTGCATGGGAGCTGACTTTCTGGCCATGAGAGAGCCACACTTGTCCCTAGCTTATACCAGGCTGCCCAGTCTCTCCACCTGCTAGACCCAGGTTTCCCTTTCCTGATGTGCAGCCCAATGCCACAGGGGCACCTCCCAGGGCAAGACTGTTCTTTGCCTTCCTACAGTCCCTCTCTCCCCTAGATGGTTTTCAGGGTGATGGCTGCTCTGCTCTACTTCTTGCTGGTCAGCATGTCTAGGATCATGTTTCTCCCTGTGACTTTTGAGCCATTCTAGGTAGGATCTTTTCACCTGAGCAGGACTGCTATTTTGGCAGGGCAGTTCTTTGTTGTGGTGCTGTGCATTGTGGGATGGTCATCAGCTTCCCTGTGAGAAGTGCAGAGAATGCCTGTGCACCAGCTTTCCCTCTATCCACACCAGAGGCTGGCAGCACTTCCCAGTGGTGACCACTCAGGAAGTCTCTGACCTTTGCCAAAGGTTTCTGAGCTGCAAATTCTTTCCTGTACACACCAGTGGTGTACTGTGAATGGAGATTCCCATTTTTTAATAAAACAGAATAATTTTTTAAAATCTTCAATGTAACTCATTGATGAAAGATGAGTCTCGTTCCCTTCTTTCCTTCCCTCCTCTTTATTTTTATGTGCATGACTCTTTTGCCTACATGTATGTATGTATGTGTACCACATGTGTGCAGTGCTCATGGAGGCCAGAAGAGTGTATTTGGATCCCTTGGAACTGGTTTTATAGACCATTGTGAACTACCATGTGGGTGTTAGGAATGCTTCAAGAGCTGCAAATACTATTAACTGCTGAACCATCTCTCCAGCCTCTTCCCTCCCTCCCTCCCTCCCTCCCTTTCTTTCTCTCTCTCTCTCTCTCTTTCTTTTTTTGTCTTTCATTTTGTTTTTTATGTTCAGAGATAGAGTCTCACTACATAGCCCTGGCTAGAACTCACT